CTTTCCCTGGTTTTGGAATCAAAGTAACACTTGCTTTCAGGAATGAATTTGGAAGTATTGCTTCCCTTTCAATTTCATTGATGAGTTTAAAGAGTAATGGTAACAGTTCTTCTTCACATGTCTTATAGAATTCAGCAGTGAAGCCATCAGGACCTGGGTTTTTCTTTGTTGGTAAATTTTTAGTTATGTTTTCAATTTTGCTCATTGTAATTGGGGTATTTAGAATTTCTATATCTACTTCATTTAACTTTGGCAATTCATATCTATCTAGGAATCTGTCCATTTCTTCTGTGTTTTCCATTTTATTAGAGTACACATTCTCCAAGTAGGTATTGATCATCCTCTGGATTTTTTCTGGATCTTTTATGACTTCACCGTTTTCATTCTTAATTGCATGGATGTGAGCCTTTTCTTTCCTTTTTTTGATAAGGTTGGCTAAAGGTTTATCAATTTTATTTATTCTTTAGAAGAACAAACTCTTTGATTCATTGATTTTTTGTATCATTCTCTTAGTATCTATTGCATTGATTTCTGCTCTGATCTTTATAATTTCCTCTCTTGTACAAGCTTTGGGTTTGTCTTGCTCTTCTTTTTTCTAGGAGCTTGAGGTTCAGTATTAGGTTGCTTATTTGAGCTCTCTCTGTTTTCCTAATATGGGCATTCACTGCTATGAATTTCCCTCGCAAAACTGCTTTCATTGTGTCCCATAGATTCTTGTATGTTGTACTGGCATTATCATTTACTTGTAGAAACTGTCTAATTTCTTCTTTAATTTCCTCTGTCACCCATTGGTTGTTCAGGAGGGTGTTGTTCAATTTACATTTGTGTGTGGGGGGGGTTGTGGTTTCTTATGCTATTGATCTCCAATTTTATTGCACTATGGTCTGATAATATACAAGGGGTTACTTCAGTTCTTTTACATTTACTTAAACATATCTTATGAGCTAGCATGTGGTTTATTTTGGAGAATGACCCGTGTGCAGCTGAAAAGAATGTATATTCTGATCTTGTGGAGTGGAACACTCTGTAAACATCTATTAAGTCCATTTGTTCAATAGCTTGGTTCAGTTCTAGAATTTTTCATTGTTGATTTCTTGTCTAGATGATCTGTCTATTTGTGATAGTGGGGTATTGAGATCCCCCACTACAATTGTATTAGTGCTTATTTGGTTTTTCATGTCCATTAATATTTGTTTTGTATAGTTGGGG